AGGGCAAGCCATCCAGGAGGGGCAAGGAGGAAGCATGACCCTTTAGGAAGTGTCACTTGCTGTCCACTGTCCTTGTTAGAAGCAAGTCCCTACATCCAGCCCACACCCCCACCTCCACCGTTTGGAGGAAGGAGTGTTGAAGAATTTGTGGAGATATTTTAAAAGCACCACAGCACCCAAGGGGAAGTGAGGGAAAGCACAAGAAAGCAAGCAGAGCCCGTCCATGGCCCATGGCTAACAGGCTGCTGTTCTCCTCCAGCCTTTGGGAGAGTACACACGGCTCCCAGGATCATTCTGCAGGCTTCTGGGAAATGTTTTCTAAACACAAGGACTCTCCAAAGTCCCCGTACCCTGGAAATAAACAGCCACTCACCTTCAGGAACAGCTGCTTTCTCTTATGGGTCATTAATTCCCCCCCTCTGGCCTCCATAGCCCAGAACCTCCTGGCCGGGGATGGCGCTGGCATTAGCCATGAGCTCATCAGTCTGGAGATCACCTCCCCTGAAGTTCCGGATCTGACCATCATTGATCTTCCCGGCATCGCCAGGGTGGCAATGGGCAACCAGCCCCAGGACATCGGACTGCAGGTGAGCCTTTCCGGAACTCAGGAACAGGCCAACCTGACACCGGGGCAGGGGAGCTTCTGAGATCTCTGCCTGCAACCCCAAGGATCCTGGTGCCCCAGCCGGAGCCCTTACACTGAGAATGAGGGAGGAGTCTGGGGTGGGGTCGTCCCAGCAGGGCCTCAAACTCAGTGTTTGACTTGGGTGTGGAAAGTCACAGAGTCAGAGAGGTGGACTGGGCGGGACTGGCAGGTACACAGGACACTCACTTCTTGTCCAAGTTGTCACAGGGAATGTGGGTTGTCCTGATATTAGAAAGAGGGCAGACATTTGTATTTTTACATGAAATCTGCCTGTTTTACCAAAACAGGTTTTAAATTAATATTATATAAGTCAGGTAGAATATAGCCTGTGATCTGGCCTGGCACAGTGGAGAGGGATGACGGCTGTAGCCACAAGGACACACATAAACCCACAGCAAGGCCCCGTGGGAGCCACCGGGCACAGCTTCCATTTAAAATCACACGTGAAGCAGAAATGCTTGTGCACATCCTCTGTTTGGGCCAGGCCAATCTCGAGTCCAGCCCTGCTACATTCACCCAGTTGCTCATGTGGAAACTAAGGGCACAGGATGGTTTGGGGAGCAGGGTGGGCCCAGGGCAGGGCAGTGCAGGGAGAAGATGAGCCTTTCCTGTCCTCAGACTGGGGTTGCTTATCTCACTTGTTTTGTGGGGGACACTGCCAGTGTTGGGAGCCTAGCCAGAGACTAATTAAGGGATGACAGCTCCAAAACCATCCCAGTGGCATCACCACTGGCTCTGCTGTTCCAAGCAAAGTCTCAGCAGTTGAATTCTGCTTCCTACCTCAACAACCAAATCACCACCTCCGTCTCTCTAGGAGAGAGACAATTAGCTCCTTTCCCTTGCTGAGTTAAGGGACTAATCCCAGACTTCGTAGACTTCCAAGGGATTGGAGGGGTTTCCTAGAGAAGTTGAGAGTGGAACACACAGCTTCCTCCATCCTCTCCTCTGTCAGGGTCCCTGTGATTTGTTCAAAACCACTTGGCTTTCAAACTATCATATCAAAAGCAAGTCAGTTGAGACGGCAAAGTATTGCTGGTGTTTTGAATGTTGGAGGAATGTGTGCCCGGTGTCTCTAAGCATTTCATTCGAGGTTAAGAATTCTGAAGGACTTTATGTCTCTCCATTCTTCCATGTCTCATGTTCAGCTCAATGTTCCCTCCACGCGCTCCATGGGCTCAGTTAGTGGCTGGCGGTGAATCAGGAGGCAGTGTGGGCAGCCTGCTCAGGTTTCCAAACCTTGACCTGGAGTGTAGAAAGAATTGTATTAAATGAAGTTTCAATGGGACAAAACACAGCCAAATGAACAAGAAGAGTATGTTATAAAAACTAAGAAAAAAAGTCTTAACCTAAGTTTCTCTTAATTCTTACTTAAATCCTTATGAAAAGAATGTGCTTGGTTATTGAAATTACCAAGCTAGAACTCAAAGGCTATCCACTATTCTGTGTCCCAGCCCTGCTAACACTGGGCCTATATCCCTGCAGGT